TCAGATTGCTGGCAGTAAGGGATGGAAAGCTGGACAAAATTGCAAAGGAGAGATAAAAACCACTGACTGTGGAGACAAGACTTTAGATCCATGTGAGCAGTCAATAACAAAAACCACAGACCACAGACTTGGGAATTCAACAGTTCTCCTCAAGCTCAATTCACTCTGAAGACTGAGTTATTCAGTAAATTTTTATGTTTTTATTTTTTTATTCCCCAGTAGTGTTTGCAAAAGCTGCTAAAGAAGAGATTGTCAAATTAGAATTAAAGTTAAATCAGAAGAGGTGTTTTCCTCCCTCTTTCTCTAGTTCTGAGGAAGCTTTCTTAAGATAGGTGAAAATAGCAGGTGACAAGTTACAGCACCTATAGTCCTCTCTTAACAATGTGAGGTGTATGAAGATCAAGAAAAAAAACCACCCAACCTGGCTATCTGCTATAAAGGGGTCATGAAAATGATTCATCATCTGAAATAGCTTGTCTTCATGTTACAGTTTCTGGGCAGTGTCTTCTACTTTGAGCTTGCATCTCTTTCTCTTCCCTAGGCAATAAAGCTTTGTCCAACAGCACCATGGGAAAAAAACCCTTCCCCTAAAATCCCATTGATTAGCTACAGTAGACGTAAAGTAGTTAGTTGTCTTGTTTTTTCTCATAACCTTCAGTCAAGCAATGCATTCACTATCCACACTCCTTCAACTCACTTAATAAAATCTAGCTGAGCCCCAGTTGTATCAGGACACTGGCTGTCAGATGTATATTCCTAATCCTCTAATACAGCACAGCTTCTAGTGACGCTTGATGGTATCCAAGAGATCTGACACACTTTTTTTCTGCTCAGTGAAGGACAGACATGTTGCTCTTCCTCCAGGACCTGCTGTGAGAAAGCAACCAACCTACCTACCACAATTCAGAATGCTCTGTAATGACATTTTACCAATTCTGACTTAGAAATAGCTTACAGGCCTCCTGCAGAGGAAAGAACAAAGCTGTGTACTATCCAGTGTTTAACACTGTTTTTATGCATTATGTTTTAAAAATCTGAACAGATGTCAACAAAAGACATGTGACTCTACATAAAAAGCCTTAAGATTTTATAAATACCATAATGAAAATACACCACCATCCCTTCTCATGTTGCTGTAACACCGTATTGAACACTGATCTCAGAATCTTTAAATGTCTCCATATTATTACCTCTATGCAAGAACAGCTATCAAGGTTTCATAAGACATTCCCTCTAGTTAACACTAACCTGTGTCCATATGACCTCTAGCAGTTAATGAGTCAAAAGCCCAAAGGGGGGCATACCTATTTTCTAACTACCCTAACTTTAAAAGCATTCCTAAAACCTTCTGTGAAGAATAACTAATGGACCTTAAGAAAAAGCTGCTCAGAAAAGCACCAGCTCACACTCAGTAGTCATTACCCATGTTACTATTTCTTGTATGTTCATCTGAGCACTTTCTACTTTCAAGGAGTATAAAAAGATATATCCATTAAGAAGGTAAAGATTATATGCATGTATGAAGGACAGTGAGGCAGAAAGTCTGGTGCAGCCAATAACAAAGATTTGATAGGCGTATCAATCTTTAGTCCTAGAATGGCATTTCCCTTCTCCAGCTGGACTTCAGCACAAGGGCATTCTTTAACCATAGCAATGTCCTCCTTGATTTCTGCCTTTTCTGTAATCACAGAGTTCATCCACTTTGATTTCTGGAAAAAAAACAAAACCAACCTTGTTTGTTGTGTTGCATTTAGTAAATTGATTGCTCTACATGTTTTCCTGATTCCTCGAAATACACTGGCCTCTTCCATTTTGTTAGAGAAAGAAGTATTAACATGATGAGCTACATCCACATATTTGTGGCCAAATGTCATTCAACCAGTTATAAATAGTTGATACTAATCTTTGATATGTTCTGGTTGCAGCATAGCCATAATAAAAATTCTGATGCAAGCTGCCTCACTTTCTTCCAGAAAGGCATTTGTTTCATCAACGCCTTAGCTTTGAAGATGATTTCATTGCCAAGCAACCCCTGTGTGACTGCCAGAATACTGGAGGAAAGCTTTATTTCAAGAAAAGAAAGAAGAACATGTCAATTGATGATGACAGAACTGTTGGAGGTCAAACAGTTAAACTTATTCTGACTTCCTGTGTAGCAGTCTTGGGGATTTTTATTTTTTGTTTTCTAACTTCTGAGTACACTATACTGTGTGAAGGCTGCGCTGAGCTAAACAGCAAAAAATAGACTTATGGTCAGTGCAAGTTTTAACCTGTAAGATAAAGTTAACAGGAGTGATCCACTGCAATGCCCTTCTAGGACAAAAGTTAATTAGTACTGCATTCACTAGGGGTCTCAAACATAACACAGGCCCCTGAATGGGCAAAATCTGCAGCTGACACAGGAGAAAACTCATCACAACTAGGAATGCCTGCAAGAACAGAAACATGCAATCAATGACAACAAAATGGCAGATAAGATCCAGCTCTCACAACAGGAAGGAAAGTTGCACTTGCTTTGCGACACAGCAGATCACGTTTACTGCTGTTATCTCCAGGGAGAGACATGGGAAATTGCTTAGAGAGTACACTTAGTACCTGCCCAGAGCTTTTGAGAATAGATGCCTTTGGTTACTAGCAGTAATGTCCAAACAATTTAATGGTCTTTCCTCCACCAGATTAAAAAATTGCCAACCCTCACCATCTGTATTTACAAACATCTCAAGCACCTTCAAATTGCTGCTATTTAAAAAATTAGGCAAGATATTTTAGTTAAAGGATAAAGATACAGAAATTACTGTTTCATCACCACCCTGTCCAGAGCTCACTCTGCAGCAAGCCAGATTCCCAAGCTAGTGATGGGCTTGTGGCCCCACAGGATAAAAAACACAGTCTAGTAAATGCATTAATATCACATTTCAGTTGATCTATTGTCTATCCTGGACAGAGTACAAGCTATAGAACAGCACAGCCACCTAGACCAGGGCCAAACTACCAAAATATAGCCAAATAAGCTGCATGAATAAGTCACGATGCACAAATGGTACAGTAATTCCAAACCTGGTCACATGCGATCGCTGGAAGACTTGGGCTGTAATTCACTAATGTCTCTGCCTGTGGTCTTTGATAGCTCCTCTGTCTTTCTTCCTCTTTATTAGCCATTGCCAGCTCTGTCCAGGACTTGGATTTTGTGCTACAGATAGAAAAGTTCCTATTCCTAGAAAACTTACATATGCACAAGTAATTCACCAGCCCTCTTGAAACTGATTTTCTTAGAAATGTATTCTACTATCTCTGGTTCTACCAAGTTCTCTAAATTTTACCCTTTCTTCACTGAAGCAGGAAGAGCAGCAGTACTGCTAAAGCCCCCTCCCTAGTTTCAGAGAAAGAGCCGTGATTGACAGCACCTTTGCAGAACTGTACCTGCTCATGCTCAGAGAAGTAAGCCAATCACACTGGTATTTCCAGCACCAAATAAATGTTTGTGCAGCACTTATTGAGACGAGTAGGGAGTTTCCCCATGTCTAGATGTGAAAACATATACTTAATGTTATAAGAATCTCTCAGCTTCAGAAATATGACAGCAACAATTGTAACAGCTACACACCATTTTATTACCTATTTTCTTCTCTAATAACAAGCCAGTGTGAAAGATTTGCCTGTTGACTGGTGGAATTATACCTGGCTTATACAGTCAAGTTTTACAGACATAATTTTTCTGTTAAAATAAGGAAAAATGTAATGGTTTTAAGACACAAGCAGTGCTACCAAATCACTAAGAGACAACAAGCTATATCAATATACAATTTTTGTTAACATCTACTCCATTCACAGAATACACCTTAAATTATTTCAATGATGTACTTTTTCCTTACAAGAAGGGAAAAAAAAAAAAAAGTTTCTAGTAGAAGATGATGCTGTCTACACACTTTCTAGAACCGTTATTCACCAGCCTTCAAACAGTAGGCTGAACTTCCCAAGCTCATCATGGCCTCTAACATTTACTTAAACTATGACAAAAGAGAGGAGGGGGGGGGGAAGCACGTTAAATGGAGCAGCCATTTCTCAGCTTTTCCCTTCATGATACCCACCAGCCTGCCTCCCTACAAACCCAGAAAACCAAGCAGCACCTTACAAATCTCCTCCTTGTCAGGATAAACATGCTTAATGGCAGACAGATTCTCAACCTTCAGCTCCTCCAGAAGGCTCTCCTACCTTTCCCCTCAGGCTATGGCCGGTTGGCAGGGGCCCGAGATTTCTCATCGGTGGTTTAACTCTTTCTAACCCATCACCCAGGCCAAACTATGAACTCGCTTAAGAGCATCCTCCCGTCCAGAGTAAATTTCTAACGTTTTTCCCTCTGCTAGGTTCCCGATAGTGAGGACACGCATTATTTATCGACTGTAATTTCAAGACAATTAGCTGAGTGAATGGAGTAATTTCTGAGCATGCAGTGGGACGCAGAGAACATACGGTATTTGCCAGACTGTTGACATTAAACGCCCACCAGCAAGGCGGAGGTCTGGGGCTGGCCGGCGATGGAGGGCAGGATGCTGAGGATGTGCTTACAGGACCTGCGCTCAGGACCCCCCTCCATCAGATCCTGCGCCTCTTCTCAAGTTTTCCTCCGCACCCCTTTCCAGACACGGCCGAGTCTTGGGTCGTGGGGTGCCGGGACTGGACCTCGCCGCCGAGAGGGCTCCCAGGCAGAGCGCGTCTGGGGCTGGGGGGCCGCGGCCCGGGGCAGCCCTGCCCTTGGGGGCGGAGGGGCGCTGCGCAGCCGGGCCGGGCGGAGGCACGGCCCGTCCCCGCCCGCTCCCGCCGCGGGGAAGCGCTGCGCCAGCGCGGCCGCGGCCCTCCCCACCCTCGCGTTCAACTGGTGGGACCCTACCGTCCCCCCCGCTCTCCACCCCCGGCAGCGGCGCGCAGGAGGCGGCGGGACGAAGCCGGCGGCGGGGACGGGGACAAGCGGCGGGCGGCCCGGCTCGGCGGGCGCCGCTGGCTAAGGATGCGGGCGGCGGCCCGGCGGCGCGGGCTGCTGCAGGCGGGCGGCGGGCAGCGGCGCAGCGCCTGACCGCAGGGCTCGGCTCCGCTCCTCTCCCGAGGATGCTGCGGGGCAATGCCCGGCGACAGGGAGGACGAGATTTGCGAGAAAGCGCTGCAGCTCCTGGCCGAGCTGTGCTCCGTCGGGGCGGTGGAGAACGAGAACTGCCGGGATTTCATCTACTACCTGCGGGACAGAGCCCGGCCCCGCCTCACCGACTCAGGTACGGCCGCCGCCGTTGGCCTGCAGGCACTGGCGGCCTCCCCTGTCCCCTGGATACCGGAGGAGGGTGAACATCCCCCAGCGTCCCGCGGAGGCCGGGTGCCGCGGGGCGAGGCCTGCCGCTGGGTGCGAGCGAGAGGCAGGGGAGGGTGGCTCCTGGGAGTGTGGGGGGGGATTTGCCCCGGTCTGGCCGGCGGAGGATGCTCGTCCCGGTTCGGCTGCTTGCCGCTACGCCCTAAGCTGCCGGGTCTCCGTTAGAGGCGTCCGGCGAGCAGCTCTTGGGGGAGATGTAGAGCCCTCCTTCGGCAGCTCTCCCCGCCGCATCCCGGTGCCGACAGTGTGGGCTACCCGGCAACTTCGTCCCGCCGCCGGGGTCGGTTCGGCTCCGCCTGGCCCGGAGCGGGCCCGGCCTCCCTGTCCAGCGCCGCCTCCCCGGAGCTTGCTGCAGTGCCACAAGCCCGGGGCCCTTCCTGGGTTCCTGCGGCCCTCCCCGCTACGCCGGGTTCAGTTGTAAAGAGCGGTGGGGGGGGGGGTGTGTGTATTGGAAGTGGGTGTCATAGCTCGGTTTAGATGCAGCACAATTTAACCGAACTTTCTAATTCTGTGTATTTCACAAGGAAAAAAAAAGACTGTTTCTTCGTTTCTGTAGCAGATGTGGGGTTGTAGGTCTGATACGATGTACTCTGACTGTTTCTATGTGTGCGCGCCTGGATTACGATTGCCTTTTCATGTCTTGGTATAACACAGAAACTTTAACTTAAGGAAGCTTTTTAACAAGAAAGCTGAGCTCCAGCTACATGAAAATGTTGAAAGAGTGCTAATGTTCTGTGCATCTCTGGCTGTAAGGAAAAGGCAGATTGCAATTTGAAGTAGGAGTTTGTTATATTTCTTTTTATACTGTCAGGTTCAGTTTGCTCAATTTGAGGAGAAATCTAGAGAGTGAAAGGTGAAGTTGATAAACATTTGCTGTGCTGGAAAGCTTGGCTCAGCTCAGCTGATCCTCGCAGCACGGTATTAATTTATTTAATATTCTCTGACATAAATTAGGTCATTTAGCATGGGGTAGTCTGATGACATGCTAGTCTTAAATCTTTGTAATTTGTTGTGTCTGAACTAGCAGTGCAGTTTACTGACAAATGCTTGGATGTGCTGAAAGGCCTGGCAGAAACAAGTAAAACTAAGAAAAAATTAGTGACAAAGTGATCTGCTATGACAATAAATGAATAAGGAATTTTCTGACATTCAGTTTGCTTGTATCTAATGCTATTTGCAGCCATTCTGGTTTTGTTTGTTTGTTTGTTTGTTTCTCCAAATTGAAGTGATTTATGCAATGTTTTATAAGGATTCTTTAGAATTAGGTAAATTTAATTGTTTTGTTCATATAGGCAGATTGAATTGCTTTGTTCACATTTTGGTGGCAGACACCTGTGATTTTTCTGTAGTTTTCATTTATCAAGGGATCAGTCATGTATTTGTATGTCAGGTGATGAGTCCAGAAATGTTTTAAATCAGTGCTGACTTTGAATACTAAATTACTTGAAATGCAGATGGAGACTTTAACCTCAGCCACTTGGATAACAGCTCTTCAGATTTCTTTCAGAAGCTACCTGCTTTTTTTTCTCTCAGCCTTGGGCAAAAAGTCTACTCGGCATCTGTTTGGGAGCATTTTTAAAACACGGTCTGTTCAGTAAAAATTTATCACCTCTACCTAAAGATTAAAAATAATAATAATAAAATCTGTGTTTATTTCTACCTGTTTTGCTTCAACCACTATTATACAACAGCCTTCTGGTATTGTTGCAAACCTGCTCAATTACACAGAGCAGCGGTCCCTAACCTCTGCCAGCCAATGTGCAGCAACAGGGAGCAATTACGCTGCAGGCAGCATCTTCCTGTTGGCCTCAATTTTAACATTTATATTTTTTGCAGCTGCAGCCAGTCACAGAGGGTCTAGCAGGAAACATGTTATCTGTAAGCCCTGACTGGCAGCCACTTCTGTAGGGAAGCAATGTCAGGAATTTATTAATTTACCTTGTCTTCTGTTTTTTTGATTAAAATACATAGATTGTCCCAGTGAGCTGGCTGCCCATTGGTTTGTTTATCTGGTCCTTGGATATGATGGTATGGGCTGCAAGAAGGCAGTGTACGTGACTTCCAAAATGAAGTAATACAGTTCACAATCAAAGGGTAGTACATTGACCCATCTAAATTTACTTAGTGACTTTCATTGACTTAATGATGGCATTAAAAAGCCCTGACAGCTAATCCATTTGTTTTCCAGCCACTAGTGGTCTAAACACAGGGGGATGAAGAAAGCCTTTCCTGAAAGACAGAGTCTTAGAATTGGGCAAAAGATGAGGCTAGCCTTGTCATAATTTTTTCCCCTTTGTGAAGGTGATGTGTACTTGCCAAACTGAGCAATTTCTCTTAGGCCAGCCAAATGAGCTACCAAAAAAACATGGGCAACTTTGTTAGGGTTGAAAAAAGTGCAGCTAGACAACACACACAGCTTTTGTACAGGAATTAAAGCCTGTGCTTATGGGAGTTTTTCTGCAATAAAGTGGCTAATTGTGTAAACCCAGCTATGTGGTAGATAGAGATGATTTTACAGCACATTTGGTTTGGGCCATTCCTGTGTGGAGCTTCTCTTACTTAAGTGGAAGGGTGGCTGTACAAATGCAGTAGTTATTGGAAAAATCAAACTCTAGGGAGGGAGAGCGCTGAGGAGTTGCTGGGCCTTATACCAGGGTTCATCTACAAGCTCAGCCTCCTGGCACCCTTTGGTCCCAGCAAGAAGCAGCCAGATCTCTGGAGATCCACTGACTTCTTGCCTGACATCTGATGCAGTAGGCTGTGTGGCTCCCCAGCATCTGGTCTGAGTATTTGGAGTGTGACTCAGCCTGGGAAGGCAACAGAAGGGGACTAAATGATTGTGGCATACACAAGCATCTTCAGGTTTTGTAATTTGCCCTGTTATGGGAACTGCTGCACAGTGCTTAGAGCGTAAGTTTAAGGGCTGTTGAGTTCTAGGTTTAAAGTGCTGGTCTGCTGGATTTACAGGGTGACCTGGGGAGTCAGATTTTAAAGGTTTTTGGAAAACTAAAAATGCCAATAAGGCATTTGGTGAAACATCTTAACTTAGTTCCATAAGAGTTGTATGTCAGAGCACCTTTGAAAATCCCAAGAGGCATCCTACATACCTTAATCATAGAATCATAGAATAGTTAGGGTTGGAAAGGACCTTAGGATCATCAAGTTCCAACCCCCCTGCCATGGGCAGGGACACCTCGCTCTAAACAATGTCACCCAAGGCCTTGTCCAACCTGGCCTTGAACACTGCTAGGGATGGAGCATTCAGAACCCCCCTGGGCAACCTATTCCAGTGCCTCACCACCCTAACAGGAAAGAATTTCTTCCTTATATCCAATCTAAACTTCCCCTGTTTAAGTTTTAACCCATTACCCCTTGTCCTATCACTACAGTCCCTAATGAAGAGTCCCTCCTCAGCATCCCTATAGGCCCCCTTCAGATACTGGAAGGCTGCTGTGAGGTCTCCACGCAGCCTTCTCTTCTCCAGGCTGAACAGCGTCAACTTTCTCAGCCTATCTTTGTATGGGAGGTGCTCCAGTCCCCTGACCATCCTCATGGCCCTCCTCTGGACTTGTTGCAACAGTTCCATGTCCTTTTTTATGTTGAGGACACCAGAACTGCACACAATACTCCAAGTGAAGTCTCACGAGAGCAGAGTAGAGGGGCAGGATCACCTCCTTCGACCTGCTGGTCACACTTCTCTTGATACAGCCCAGGATACGGTTGGCTTTCTGGGCTGCAAGCGCACACTGAAGCTGGCTCATGTTCATTTTCTCATCGACCAACACCCCCAAGTCCTTCTCTGCAGGACTGCTCTGAATCTCTTCTCTGCCCAGCCTGTAGCTGTGTCTGGGATTGCTCCGACCTGGGTGTAGGACCTTGCACTTGTCATGGTTAAACTTCATGAGGTTGGCATCAGCCCACCTCACAAGCGTGTCAAGGTCCCTCTGGATGGCATTCCTTCCCTCCAGCATATCAACCGAACCACACAGCTTGGTGTCATTGGCAAACTTGCTGAGGGCGCACTCAATCCCACTGTCCATGTCAGTGATGCTTCTTTTTCTGTTCCATTCCTCCATTCCCTATTTGTAAAACATTCATAATATTTCTATATTCTACTCCTCTAGTCATATTGGCATTTGAAAACCATCACTGAAGCTCATGTAGTATCACCCCATGGCGCTGGATAAAGCAAATACTTGAGATGAGGAATAGAAGTTGCTTAACTAGAAGAATTATACTAATGTATTAAAGAAAAAAAAACAACAAAACAACAAGAACCCAAACCAAAATCAAACAACAAAACCAGCAAACAGGAAAAACAAAAACCAAAAAAACTCCAAACAAACAAAAGCCCGAACAACAACCCAGAAACAGACAAACCCATGAAGGCAGAAAATCTTAATGGAGGCTCTGACTATTGGAAGCATTAAGAACAAAACCACTTGTGTTCCCCTGTGGACCATTTGTCTAATAGATTGGTCTTACAACTTCTTAACTGAAAAACTTGGTGTGGCATAAATCAAACCTAACAGAAAAGGTGTATCTTGTTATTGCTGTTGTTGGAGTGAATCTGTGTTTATAAAACACCAGCTTCCTAGCAATTGCAGTGGGAGACCAGTATTGCTCTTTGTAAACCTGATGAATTTCTGCACTGCCTTTCGTTGTAGTGTTTTGCCAACTTTGTAGCAATTTGTGCTTCCTGCATACCTTCCAGTGACTGCTAGATAGGGCAATAAAATGTTCAAGGCATAATTACATGTGTGCTGGCAGTTGCTGAATATCAGTAAAATTAAGTTATATATAGGAAAAGTGTATGAGTTGCACACTGTGGGGCTTTGCACAAAACTTCATCTCCTTAGCTCATTCTGCAGATTGAATTTTTCTTCCTTTAGTTAAAAAGTATGCAAC